GTGCAGTGTGGGGCGGCTCCAAGCGGGGTGACTGGGGGATCGGCTGCGTGGTCGGAGGGCTGCACGGACCATCTGTCTTCATGGCATAGTGGACAAAAAAAGAAAGGGCGGCTTGCGGTTGCCGTGAGAGAACGACATCAGGGTGCCATTGTGCGGGCATGTCCGCGCCGGCCGTGGTGCGAGCGGCCCCTGACAGGGGAGCGTGCCGCCGCGTGCCACGAGGCGCGATTCGCTGTCCTCAACCGTGATTAGCGACCTTCCAGCGTGGTGGTTGCGCTGGGGTGCATACCCAGAGGCTGAGTGGGGCCACAGGTGCCGGTCTCAACACCGCGCTTGGCAATGACTGACACAGAAAAAAGATATCAGTTGCCGCAGAAAGCGCCAGGCAGTGCCCGCAAGCCTTGAGGACGTTATTGTAGCAAAAGCGTAGAGACATGCTGTAAGATAAGCTGGAGCGAGGTGGAAGGCCGGAGCACGGGGGTGCAGCCGTCACACGCGAAAAAATCCGGCCCAAGAAACAGAAACCACCTGCTTGCGCCAAAAAGCTTGGATTAGAGCCAAGGCAAAGCCGACGGGAAGCCGGTGGGAAGCCGACACGAAGCCAGCAGGAAGCTGGCCGCACCTCTGTCGGGAGGTACTCCTTTGGCGGGTTGTACGACTCCTCGTGGCCCGGCAGCTTCAGTTTGGACGCGGGGATATACGTCAGCCCCGCCGCCGTCTTGTTTGCCACCTGATGACGTCACGGTGACGTCATCGTCAAGGAGGGTGACAAGGGTTCGATTGAGGTGAGAGGTGCCAGGGTGCTTTGAGGGCGGTACATGCGAGGGCTAACAGCACATTGACGACTGCCAGGTCAGCAAGGGGGTCCCCTCCTTGTGCTGGGAAGAGGCGCCCGCCTGCCGCACCGCACAGTGCTGTGGGGCGGCACACCGCAGCGGGCCCGCCACATCCGGGGGCATTTTCGCCGGCGCATGCCCATCAGCGCGCATGCATACACAACCTCACACACAAACACATGCGTATGCATGCATGCAACCACATGTAATCACATGCACGCACGCACGCACGCACACGCGCACACACACACACACACACACACACGCGCACACACACACACACACACACACAGCAAGCACCCACACACTCCTACACAGGCAGCAGGCAAACCCCCACCCCCACCACGTGCGCTCCCACCTGGTCATCATCGCCCCACAGCATGTACACCTCCGACTCCTTCTTGGCCTCCTCCCGCTTCTGCTTGCGTGTCTTGAGCCAGCCGTTGCGGATGGCGCGGATCAGCTTCACCACCCTGTGCGTGGCGGGGCGTGCAGGGGGGTGCAGGTGTGGTGTGTTGGGGTGTGTGCAGGTGAGGTGTGAACGGGCGTGCAGGGGTGTGCAGGCGTGCGGAGGCGTGGTGTGCAGGGGTGTGTAGGGGCTCGTGTGCAGGGGTGTGTAGGGAGGAGGGCCCGCAGAGTTTGCAGGGGAATGCAGAGCATTTGGCAGGGCCCAGGAGAGGGGAGTGGGGTGGTGGGCGGTGGGGAGGCCGGCTGCCGAGAGGGGGGTTGAACAAGCGCAACAATCACATGTGCGGTGCCCTCCAGTGCGGTGCAGGGCAGGGTGCGGGGCGCTCACTTCTTCTCCTCCCATTTTGATGGGATGAACCTCCGCTTAGGCTCGGGGGCGTTGAGGATGGGGGTGGGGTCCACGGTGTCGTCCGCCTGCGCGATGGTGTTGGGGGCAAGGAGAGAAGGGGAGGGGTCAGATTCGCTGTCAGCAGGGGCAAGGCTCCGGGTGTGTGCCGCGCGATGATGTGTCATCAATGATGTGCAGGGGTGCGGGGGGGGGGGGAGTGCACACGGCTGGTGAGGGCAGCAGATCCACCAGGCGCCACGCGGCGCAGTTTGGCCGACAGACGCTAGCCCCCGGCTGTGCAGCCTGGCAGCGGGCATGTGCCCGCCAGCCGGGGACACGCGGTCGGACACGCGCACAGCACCGGCGAGCACGCGATACGCATGCAGCCACAGACTCCCATTCAGAGCACGCGTGCAAGCGGGCTCGACATTAATACATGCAACACATGTGCAGCACTCGCACACATGCTAATGCAAAAAGGTGACCCACCCAGGCCTCGTAATCTGGGAAGGGGTCCACTTCCAAATGAGGGAACTGGCCGCGGCGGATGCGCATGAGCATGGAGATCTCCGCCTGGCAGGGTGACATGAGCATGAGCATCCGGTTAGGGGTGGGGTTTACAAGAGTCGGCTTGAGGGATTTTTGGGGGGGGGGCTGTGCAGGCTGGCTGTTATGATGCTGACTGGAGTGCACTAAAAGGGTCTTCAAGGGA